CATCTCTGGACTTTAGCTCTCCTTTTTATTAACCGGTCTTCTATCTTCCAAGAGTTCCTCCTTTCCCTCATTAAAACTAATTCAACCTGGGATGTTAGCCATCTTAATGCTTTACCGGTCTTAGAAGGCATTTGCATTTACATTTATTTGTTTTTATGTGTATGGGTGTTTTGCCTCTGTGTGTGTGTGTGTGTATGTGTGTGTGTATGTGTGTGTACACACACATAGGCCATAAAAGAGTCCATCAGGTCCCCTAGGACTGGAGTTAACAGACACTTGTGAGTCTCCCTGTGGGAACTGGGAATCAAACTCTGGTCCTCTGGAAGAGCAGCCAATTCGCTTAACTGCTTAGCCATTGTTCCAGTCACAAGGGAATTTGCATTTTAAATAATAAAATGCAGCCGGGCGGTGGTGGTGCACGCCTTTAATCCCAGCACTCGGGAGGCAGAGCCAGGCGGATCTCTGTGAGTTCGAGGCCAGCCTGGACTACCAAGTGAGTTCCGGGAAAAGGCGCAAAGCTACACAGAGAAACCCTGTCTCGAAAAACCAAAAAAAAAAAATGCTTAGGACTGGAGCTACAGACTGGGGATGTGCCCAGTGGTGAGAACACTTACGTCACCAGATCAAAGCTCTGGGTTTCAAGGCTTCCAGCGACTTCTTCTTTGGTGTGTATGTTGTATGTGTGTGTCCCTGTTCATGTGCATGCTCATGTGTGCATGTGTCCCTCAATTGCTCTCTGCCTTATTCTTTTTGAGAGAATTTTACTGATTGGGCAAGATTAGCTGAACAGTGAGCCCCAGGGACCCTTCTGTGTCTCAGTGTCCGCATTACAGCTGTGCGCACTTTTTATATGGGTGCTGGAGATCTGAACTCAGGTCTTCATGCCTGAGCAGCACACAATTTTCTGTCTGAGCCATTCCCCCCCCCCTCCTCTCTCTCCTCTCCTCTCCTCTCAGGTAGGGGTCTTGATTACCCTTTGAAGTCAGGCGAGAGTGGCCTTACCTCCCAAGTGCTGGGATTATTGATGTGTGCCTTTACAAGTGGCTCTACCTAGCAATGTGGAGAAGAAAAAATACTTAGCAAGAGTTACTAATAGAACCTGAAGATACTAAGCACAGGACTCAGAATGTCCCCTGGAACATGGAGGTCCTCACTAATGCTGCTAGAATGGAAATCCGGTTGTAGGACTTCGAGCCCAATGATGAGAGATGGGAGTTTGCTGTTGCTCAAGTCACCCCAAGGATGTGTGTGGAGGACTTGCCCTGGCGGCATCGTTCTTGAGTGCCAGTTATCTTGAGGGTCTTCAGGTGGTTTCCACTTTTGGGTGCCACCCAGGAGGGTCACTGGAGTCCTGCGGCTCATTAGTGAAATCTCTAGAAGTCATTGCCATGTCTTTGGTAATGACATCCAGTTTAGAGGAGAGGCTAGGTAAAATTTCCCTGGAAGCTTGAAGAAGGAAAGTTTTGGTTCCCTATGGGGTTAGTGAGCTTCATGGGGACCTTGATGCTGGTGCTTCTGGTTGATTACGGTCCTAGAAGGTTGGGACGCTGATGTAGGATGCCTGCTTTGGCTGGCCAGGCCTTGTATATATACTCTGTTTTCCTTACATTTTTTTTTTAAGATTTGTTTTTTTTTATGTGTATAAGTGTTTTGCCTGTATGTATGCGTGTGTGTGTGTGTGTGTGTGTGTGTGTGTGTGTGTGTGTGTGTGTGTGCTTGGTGTCCATGGAGGTCAGAAAAGGGCATTTCCCTGAAACTAGAATTACAGACAGTTGTTAGCTCCTATGTGAGTGCTGGGAAGAAAACCAGTCCTCTGTGAGAGTTAATAAGTGCTCCTATCCACTAAGCCGTTTCTCCAGCTCTCAGTCTCTTTACAGCAGCCAAGTGAGGAAGATCTTTGGGCTGTCTTCCTCACTTCTTACTATCAAGATCTATATGGCTGGGAGAATCTTATTAGCTTCCTGGAAGTTAATTGGTCTCAACATGGCTGATCTATTTGAACTCACCCCATGTAACTCCAAAAAGAATGCTTTTGACTCTAGCTGTTGTCTCTTTTGTGACTGTAACAAAGGGAAGGAATGAGGTGGTTGGTGTGGGTAGGATGGATGAGGTGGCTGGTGTGGGTAGGATGGATGAGGTGGTTGGTGTGGGTAGGATGGATGGTGCTACAGGCAGTTGTGAGCCACCACCACATGGGTGCTGGTAACAGAACTAGGCCCTCCGAAAGAGCAGTAAGCACTATTTATTAACCACGGAGGCGTCTCTCCATCTCCTCCATCTTTATTTTCTGAAGACAAGGTCACTCACTGAACTGGAAAACCTGGGGGAGAAAGCAGTGAGGAATAGAAAGGAGGTTTGACTGTGGTATCCCAGCATCCTTTGGACCAAACATGGAGGTAAAGAAAGAGCCCAGGCCAGAAAAGGGGCGTAGCACTTGCACTTCTAATAAGTAGGCATGAGAGACTGTGTCACTTTGAGCTCAAGTCCTATTTTCTAAAGCTGTTTCAATGGCCATGGGATCCTCTCCAAGGATAATCACATACTTCACTTTTATGTATTTTTAAATTTTGTATTTGGTGTGTACACATGTGCCTGTGTGTGTACATCTCTGTGTGTGTGTGTGTGTGTGCGCGCGCGTGTGTGTGTGTGTGTGTGTGTGTGTGTGTGTGTGTGTGTGTGTTGGGGGGGTTGACTTGAAGTGTCTTTCCTCAATTGCTCCCTACCTTTGTTTTTTAAAAGATCTCTGTGTGTGTGTGTGTGTGTGTGTGTGTGTGTGTGTGTGTGTGTGTGTGTGTGTATATGCGCGCGTGTGCGTGGTGCATCTGTGTGAGTTTGTATGTACCATGCTCCTGCACCTATCCTTGGAGATCAGAAGAGGATGTCAGATTCCTTGGAATGGAGCTCCAGGTGACTCTAAGCCATGTGGACACTGGGGAACAAGCCCAGGTCCTCTGCCGAGCCCTGCAGTCCTTTCACTTTGGAGTGTCTCTGCAGCTCAACGGGCTCCAGGGACCTGCCTGTCTCCGTACCCCTTCTCTGCAGCTGCAGTTACAGGCACACACTTGCCCATGTCCAGCTTTTCTACGTAGATCTAGAGATCTGAACTCAGATGCTCTTGTTTGCCTGGCAGGTACTTTATCAGCTGAACCACTTCCCCAGCCAGACGTAGTTCTCTTTTAAAATCTGTTGGTCTTAATTCAAACGAACTTCTTCTAATCATGTAGAAACGGGATATCTGGGATCACACTTCAGGTAATTTCAGGGTGTCTGATAACCAAAGAGAAAATGTTTTGCTACAGAGGACCGCTTGCTGGGAGGGTGGGAGTAGCCACTAAATTCCCAAGGTGGTTTATCCTAGAGGTCACTCCTAAGGCCTAAGTGAGCGAGTCCCTCGAGTCCCTGGAACTCATTAGTTGTCATGGGTAACCCAGAGGCTGAGCATTCAGGACAGAGCTGGGGCAGGGAGGGAAGGGAAGTAGTAACAGGCAGAACTGAGAAAAGTGTACATTGTAGGTAAATGTCAAACACTAGCCCTGGCCTGGCTATCATGAGTTCTGATTTTCTGGATAAACTATCCGTCTATGACTTTGGCTATGACCAGTCTTGTTCATGGGTTTCAAGAGGGTTGGACAACCCTCCTTTTCTGCTAATTTCAGCTCCAAGTTTTGTCAATTCATGGGTTTCTGAATGAATTTCTAATGATGGGGGCTAGTAAGGGGAGAGGGAAAGAGAATTAATGAACCAGGTCCCCTTTCTCAGCTCTCTGGGTTTCTGACTATCTTAGGCAAGTGTGGGAGGAATGTATTGAAGTTCCTAGTCGCAGTTAAAGGTTCTAGAAGGAGGGGCGGAGTTCCTGGGGCAAGGGTGGGGTGTCTGTATGGGGTGTGTGTGTGGGGGAGTGGGTCAGGGGATGAGGGCTTGTAATAGGAACTTTGCTGTCTTAGTTCAGAGGCTCACAGAAGGTAAATGGAGTCATGTGCTCTAAGGGCCTGTCTCTCCCCTGGGACCCATGGTGGGATAACCCCTTCTCAGTTAGGAGGGATGGTGTCTCTGCAGAAAGGACTCTCGGGGGATGGTGCTTTTTGGAAAGAGGAACTTCATGATTCGAAATGAAGCAGAAAAGGTGTGTGAGTGTGTGTGTGGTGGGGGGAGGGGCGGTAGAGAAGGCACTTGGGGAGAAAAGCGAGGAGACAAAAATGGGAGGGACCATGGGTAAATTCTTATCTCCGTGGTTTGCAGTACACCTGCTTTTGCGCAACAGGCTTTATTCATAAGGCAGGCACTGATTTTTTTCCCTTCACCCTCAGAAGGAAAACCCTAGGTCTTAGAGAGGGTTGCAGGCTTTTAGGTCTGGTCTCAGCCTCAGCCCCAAACTGTTAATTAGTCCTTTAGTCTCTGCCATCCCAAAGAGGATTGGAAAGCACATCTTTGGCTTTTTTGTTTTTTTTAAGCTGCTGTATGCATCCAGTCAAGCAGGATTCAGAGAAGCAGTTAATGACTCTCTCGAGCTCAGAACTGTAGCTCTTGGTGGGATTAGTGTCCTATTCTGTGAGTAGCTCATGCATGAGTTTAATGCCTTTGGAGGGGCTGGTGATCACCAAGGAACTAAGTCTTTGGGAGTAGAGGGCTTGAGGCAGGGTCTCACTGTGTAGCCCAAGTTAGACTTGAACTTTTAATCCTCCTGCCTCAGCCTACTGAGCTGATGATTAGAAGAAGTGGGAGCTCACAATCGCCTGTAACTCCATCCGTCCTCCTACCTACACCAACTACCTTTTCAGAGACTCCATAAATCCTCATTCAAGATGGAATATGCTAAACACTCCACCAGTCCTAATTTTGAAGAGGGGGGAGGGTAATTACCAGTGTGAAACCAGGGAAGGAGGAGTATGAGGGTGTGGGGGGACCCAGAAACAGTACAACAGGGAACCACTATGGATCCCAGGTTGGGGGCAGGGGTGGGGTGGGGTAGGAGTCATCCGACACAATCTCAAGAGGTAATAACCCCGTTAATTGAGAGGTAATGATCCTTGGCATTTTCATCTTCAAAGCCAGGAACAAACTGTAATTAATGCTCCCACCACCCGGGGGCAGGGTGGGGTGTAGGGAACCTTGAGCTACTGCTACTCAGGGAAACTGAGGCATTGGTGGAAAGTCCTTAGGAAAGAGGAACGGAGCCCAGCATATGCTGGGATCTTCGGGGAGCTGGGAACACATCAGAGCAATGCCCTCTCCAAAACCTTGGCAGCCTGGAGAGAGTTGGGGAGAAGCCAAGGTCGTGTGTTGGATGGGAGACCTACACAGGCCTCACCACAGGTAGTAGCAGGGTAACTGGGTTTGCTGGTGGCTGAGCTTAAGGAGCTTGGGCCCAGGCTGTGCCTAGTTTCCCAAAGCACGGCCTGGGATGCTTCAGGAGTGGACCTTGCAGTCCCCAGCGTGTGCTGCCGTCTCTGTAGAGCGCAGAGGGAGAGGACGTGGAAGTCCTTCGCTCCCAAATGCAGGCGGGCTCCCCGCACATTCAGAGTGACTCATCAGGCGACTCCCGAAATGCCTCCCGGTTTCTTCATCTCAGTCTGGCTACCCCAAGCCCGGAGGGAGTTTTTCATTAGCATGATTATCCTGCTGTTGTTAAAAGCTGGTAAATCTCACCCAGAGACCGAGGCCGGGAGCAGCCTCTGAACTGCAGTCTGAGTTCATAGGTCCCCAGCTGCGGGCCAGCGGCGCCACTCAACGTCTCCCGTCACCAGTTCAAACCCAGATGTCCAAACCCAGATGTCCGGGTACCTGGGGCAAGACTCTCAGGCTTTGTGCGGTCTCAGGGACGCCATCTCCCCCGTCTCCCACCCTCCAAGTGCTCACCCCCAGGGCATACAGCCAAGTTCTGTTCTACCGGATATCACCCTGGGCAGGACAGGGGGGTGGGTTTTCACAGCCTTACACCTCAGTCTTCTTGGCGGGAATGTTGTGGGGATGCCTTGTTCACAGGCTTCCCTAATCCCCCTTCCCCATTTGTGCACTTCCTTGATAAATGTGCCCCTTCAACACAAAGGCAGAAGAGTAACTTCTGATTTTGTGTAGATATCCATTGCATCCCTATTTCTTCCTGGCCCCAACACCATCCCCATCCACATGGCAGGAGCATCTGGTGTCTAGTAGGGCTTTGCCCTTTTCTTTTCTTTTCTTTTCTTTTCTTTCCTTTTCTTTCTTTCTTTCTTTCTTTCTTTCTTTCTTTCTTTCTTTCTTTCTTTCTTTCTTTCTTTCTTTCTTCTTTCTCTCTTTTTAACAAGTCTTCAGGGGGTTGTGTGCCCACGGCCCCATCACACATTGAGCTAAGGCACTGGTGAAAGGAGATCAGGTCTTTGCAGTGGGGAAAGTCAGGTCCCGTGAGGCTTCAGGGTGGTGGGTAGGGAGAGTAAACAAATACAGATGATCTGGTGGTAAGGAGTGTGGGTAAAAATAAATTAGGAAGAGAGGGTGAAGGGTGGTGAGGCCTATCTTGGTAGCTACTCTTTGATGCTTGCATTTGGAGGTATGGGTTGGTCTGCTGGCTTACCTGTCAAAGTACTGAGTTCCAACATATGGGTCAGAGTTTTAGTCCAGTTATGTCTTGGCTTATTAGATGTTCTGAAAAATTCCATGTGATTATTTGTTTACTTCTTCACTTAGTCTCACCAGGGGCCCATGGGATGGCTCGTCAGGAGGGATGCCAGCTGCTGAGCCGGACAACCTGAGTTTGGTGCTGAGGGAACCGACGCTGCCAGCTGCTGAGCCGGACAACCTGAGTTTGGTGCTGAGGGAACCGATGCTGGAAGCTGTCCGTGCTTGTCGGACCATGTGCATCCCTATGTGAATGCACACACAATTAAAAAAAAAAAATCACACGTAAGTACATTAGGGACAGTCAGATCCTGAAAGCAATCGCCCCTCGGCCCCTCTTCCTCTGGAGTAGCTTCTTGCTCTCAGACAGTGTTGTGAGGACAGGGCCACTTTCATAGTCTTTCTTAGGCTGGAGGGGGAGGGTATAACGGGGTAGCAGGTCACTGGTGATAGTGGCTTTGGGTGCCCAAGCCCCAAATCTCATGATCACACTTCCCTCTTGCACAAACTGTGTTTTTTATTTCTTTTTTTTTTGTTTGGGGGGGGAAGGGGAAGGTGGAGAAGTTTCTTCTAGACCCCAAATGAAAGAAAAAGTGGTCATGATGGAAACTCAAACACATTCTTCCCCCTTGCCTTACTTCCCTCCCGTGGTCACACTTCCGGTTGCCACCACAGGGTATTTTAGGCTCAAAAACAAAGCATCAGATCTATTTGAGCAACTTTTGTTCCATCGGAGTAAGAAGCCGAGGGGCCTGTGGCCGCCCTGGGCTAGGCCACTTCCCCGGGGAACTGACGCGTTTCCCCTTCTCTGCCAAGGTTCAATTTAGCAACTTCGTCTGGCCAATTTTGGCTTCTCCTTTCCCTGGCTGGGCAGTACATAGGCAAGGGGCCAGAGGTAGGGCTGCTAGAAGGATGGGTATGTGTCTGGATGCCTTCCTCGTGAACTTTAAGGGAAGGCTTGCTTCCCTTCTGCCACCGCCTCCCTGCCCCTTCCTTCCCCAGTCTCACATAAGAAACCTCCATTGCAGTCATCAAAACTCTGCTTGCAGCAGCAGGCGATTGCAAAGGGAGATTTGTGGTTAGGTCATGTCTGGTCCTTAGTCTCCTACAAACGGAGGTTTTTTTTTTTTTTCTGTGTTAGTGGTGAGCTGATGTGCGATCAGGCTGTGAGTGAGAGTATGTTGAGGTTCAATAATATAATTACAAATGCAACTAACTTGTCTAAGGATGTCTAGAAAGAGGTTGGCACAGTCAATACTCCGTAGTGTCTGTCGGGTGTGTACACCATGTGATTTTGTGTGGGTTGTTGTGTTGACAGTATGTATGTGCAGGTTGCATCCAGAAGAGGTGTGTTGTAAATGTGGATGTTCATGCTTGTATATGTGTGGACGGGCAGAACAAGGCTGACAAGAAGCCAGAAGACTCTTGAATTCCTGACAATTGTGACCAGTGTCCATGTGGGCAAAGGTTAGGCTGTAGATCAGTGGTCCTCAACCTGTGGGTCGCAAATCAGATATCCTACATATCAGATATGTGTGTTACGATTCATAACAGTGGCAAAATTACAGTTATGAAGTGGCAATGAAAATAACTTTATGGTGAGGGGTTAACACAGCATGAGGAACTGTATTAAAGGGTCGCAGCATTAGGAAGGTTGTAGATGCTGCTGTAGATGTTATTTATGTGTGGATCAAGGCTTGGAGGGTAGGCTGACGGATTGCAGCTGTGCCTAGGTAAGCCTGCTGTACTACCAGCCAGGGATGAGCCACTATTGGTGCTCGTAAGTGCCTTGATCACCCTGTCTTCTCAAGTTTTCTGTCCCATCCCTATGGACTACAGCATCCCCTCCCAGTGTGCATGCCCCTCTCCTCTTGGGGGCCTGTCTTCTGACTGTTCTCTTCTGACGTTCAACTCTTGACAGGCTTCACCATCACACAAATGGACTAGGGCAGGGACTTTGCCATCCGTAAGTCGCGCGTTTCCTTAGGGTGCACGCAAGACAGTCTCTGTTTTTGTGGGTGGGAGGGGGTCTTGGGAAGCAGAGAGCATGTAGGCTTGTAGACGTGCAGGCTGCTACTCAGGCCCTACAGGAAGTATGCTTACCTGCTTTCAGCATGAGACTGGACATGAAAGTGGGAACCCAGGGCAGCTGGGTCCCTTTCTGACGGTCTCTGCTTCGTTCCGTTTAACCCATTGCTCCTGACGTAGGATTCTAGTTCATGATTCTGTGTGTTGCCTTGGGTCCCTGAAGTGAATATGAGGGTGCCCCCCCTGCTTGGGTTTTGTCTAGCTTGCATCTGAAATAGATATTGCCTGTGGGAGATGCCAGGGTCGCCAGCTCCCTACATCCGTAAACCCACCTTTAACCTTTAACTTGGCTCCTTTTCATTCTTAATCGTGGGAATGCTCATTCTACTCTGCTGTAGCGCTTTCTCTGCCACTTTCCAAAATAACCATACAGAGTTGTAGGATACGGAGGTGGAGGGGACCTAACAGAGCAAAGAGTATTTGATAGATGAAGAAACTGAGGCCAAGAGAGGGTGGCTGACTTGCCCAGGCAAAGAGAGCAATGAATGGCCCATCAACAGCTCTTTTACAGCAGAACATAGGAGGCTGTATCCTTTTCTATTTCCTTTTATTCTTGATTCTTTGCTGGTCTCAGAAGGGGAGATACGGGCCCAGGGTGTGTGTGTGTACAGGTACACATCTCATGTGTCTCTTAACAGCTACTGGGGGGCAGAGGTAAAAGTTAATTACCTGAAGGAGGAAATGTGTTCTGGAATTATCTCAGGTAGTATTAAGCTGGCTAAGGTAAGGTCCTAGAGGCCGGTGGCTCTGCACTCCATTCCTTCAAAGTAGATCAAACACCTGGAGAGGCTGGTGGTGGGTGGGGAGGCGAGGGGGGGGTAGTATTCTGAGTGAAGGGTCTTTATCTTTACAGGGAAATGCTAGCTAGTTGCTAAGAAACTGGGTGTCTTTCCTGATCTGAGCTTCCCAATGTTTTCTTAGTTTTGGGAGGGGGATGCTGGGCTGGGGCTCAAGCTGCTTTGCTAGTTAGTCCTCTTCCTGGGCTGCCAAGGCCCTTATGGGTCTGACAGGAAGGACTCTTATCTGGAGGAGGTGGCTCCTGGGCCTGAGCCTCATGGCTTGTTTCAGCTGAGCTGGGGAGAACAGGTAAAGTGGAGGCAGGGAAGAAGGGGAAAATACGTATTTGTTGAACAGCCTGCGTGCCAGACACTGCATTCTAGTATCCGCCATGCTATCTCCTTTAACATCGCACGTAACCCATCCTAGAAAGAAATCCGCCCCCCCCCCCTGCTTTCCATTATACTCTTTATTGCATTTGAAACAGAGGTCTGAAACAGTCGAGCTGCTCAGGGTCACTAGATTGTCATGTGGCAGACATCCACAAGAATTTAGGTCTTTGGCGGGGGTAGGGTCGGGGGAGGGGTCTGGGGACTGGGCTTTCTTTCTGTTCCATGGCTACTTAGCCCTGACACCGCCACCATCACCACCACCATCATCATCACCTTCACCACCATCACCACCGTCTCCATCATCACTGCCATTCTTGAGTGCTCCTAGGTGGCGGTCCCTTCTTTCCCACCTTTCTACTGTTTTTTTCTTTTTTAGAAGTATCTATCACACAGGTGTGGGGGAGGGAATAAGAAGGGGGTTCAGTGAATGGGTGGCGAAGCGGGGAAACAGTGGCCTTTGAAAGGCCGGGAGCGCTGATGCGGTCGGTCTTTGGCTGGGTCAGCCTGTTTGCCTTGAGTACTCCGAGGCCCTAGCCTTTTCCACAAGGGTCCAGGAGGGCTAGCAGCCTTTTTCCTTGGGCCCAGTCCAGCCTCCCCCCCCCCTCCCAGTGAATAAAAGACCTGGACTTTATTTTATATTGCCCAGAGAGTAAAGTTAGAGTTCTGCTTCCCCCTGGATACCGTGGCGAGAGGCTTTAAGTTAATACAGTCTCCTGCCATTGCTTTGTGTGAGTCAGAGAGCAGGGCTCCGTTTCCCCGGCTATAGGATGAGTTTGCTACTGCCTGCGTTGTCATCGTCGCCAGGCTGTTTGTTGTGTCAACTAAATGAGAGAACGAGCACGGGAGACCTGAGTAGGTTGTGAATCAGGGTGGGAAGACAGGAGATGAAACATTACATGGAAAGCGTTTGGTGTAGCGCTTGGTATGCAAGAAGTGTTCGGTAACAACTGACGATGATGATGATGATGATGATCACAATGATGATTTTTTTTTGTTTAAAGATGTCAGTTCTCCTTAGTGTGTAAAGAGTCACATTATGCCCCCTTATATGTTTCTTGGCAATTTACACGCCGTTGTTTTCGTTTGGAGGAGCTAGTGAGAAGGGGTGTGAGGCCCCACAGAGATCTGCAGGTAAAAAGCTGAGTCAGGATCGGGCGCCCCCACTGGTTGCTCTCCAGGACTTCACTTTCCCCCTCCACCTCTAGGCCTTCCACTGTGCTTCTGGGAGGGCTGGCTGGCTTTAGCCTAGGACCTGGGCCAGCCGTGTTTTTCACTTCTTAGAACCTGAAGAGTGAGGGTCCCTCACGGGGCTGAACTCAAAGCCTAAAACTCTTGGGCAAAAGAAAGGAGGGGTAAAAAAAAAAAAAAAAGGAAAGAAAGCAAGCTGATAATTTCCTCGAAGGATAAACATCCGATTTTTTTTTCCTTACCCCAAAATAAACATGCTAGCCGCAAGGAATTAAAAGCAGAAGAGGGGAGGATGTCTCAATTTGGGGTTGTTCTAGCAAGCCGACCTTCTATTTATCCTAGTCCTGGGCACCAATTGGAGCTGCCAATTACACTCTGCACCTGGCATGGTAAGGGTTATGGAGAGAAGGTTCCAGGGAACACGGAACCCAAAAAGTCCCTTTTGTGGCTGTCTTCCATGACACTGCAAATGGAAACTTCCTTTTGTTTCTTATTTTAGCTCTGCTTACAGGCTTGCCTGGTGGGGTAGAGGGAGCCAGAGGTTCCTTTTGCCCTGGGCTGGCACCAGATGTGCTGCTAGAACATAAGAATTTGCTCCTATTCTTTTGGGCAGGGATCTGAACCTAGTAATGGAAGGGGCAGCATCCTCCCGAGGCAGAGACTCGGTACCCCTCCCCATTGCGTTCCTCAGATCCCATCAATTGAAAATTAACTAATGAGTTAAGAGTGTGTTCCACAGGGTGAAGGGTCAGCTGAGGCCCCTCTACCTTGTAGCCATCGTGGGGCAGGCCTCTAAGAAGGTAATAACCACATGCCTCACTTCACCCTGCCCCTTTCATCTGGGGATCTCAAAGTACGGTGTATGTGGGTCACCAGTGCTGCTGTGTCCCAGCCAAGGTCTCCACATCTTGTTAAATCTGGGAGGGAAATTGATTGAGGGGATCTTGAGGAGAGTAGAGAGGACCAGGGTGGGGGTAAAGCAGCTGAGTAGTTATGGTTCCTGCTGCACACGAGAGGAGCAGAGATGCATTTTCAGGGGTCCTTGGGTAGCAAAGTCAAGAAACGCACAAGGAAATCCAAGGACCTTAGATGATGAAAAAACCCTTTCCTCATGCCCACCAAGGAGCCTCCTCACAGATTCTTCAAAGCACACATCTGATTTTTGTCCCCCATCTTTCTCCAATCTACTTATCATTCCATAATTTCTTATTTGTAAGGATTCCATTCAAAACTGTAACATGGCCATAAGGATGGGCCTGGCCTTTGTCTACCTAGCCAGCCAATGTCTTTCTTGCATGTTTCTTTCCAGCTACTTTATTGGCCTTTCATTTTCTGGAAGATGCCACATAATGTTCCTGCCAGCAGCTTGGGGAAGCTCTAAGGAGCTCTCTGTCTCCATCTCTAGTCATTGACTTAATCGCTATCCCACATTCCAGTTCCAGCTCCAAACACCACTTCTTCCAAGAGGCCTGACCTCTCCCGCTCCTGCCAGAAACCAGACCCCCTTTACAGTTTCGTAACACTGTCAGAGTTTGCTATAACTTGACTGTGACTATCTGATGATTAACACCCCCACCCCAGGTTGCTTAGCTCCACAAGAGTAGCACCTCTCTCTCTCTTTCTGCCCAGGGTCTAGCATGGAACAGGTGCCAGCCAAATTCCCTAAATAAAGGTTGTTGGCTGTTGGAGCTGGAAAGGTCCATGGTCGAAAACCCAATTTCCACTACCACTTCTTCCTTCCACACTGCCATAGCTGGGGATGTGGGGCTTCAGGGAGGACGGACGATCTGGAGCCTCAGGCCCTGGGATCTGGTCTTCTGTCTGTCAGCCTGATGCACTTGCATTTGTAAGGAATCCTCAAAGCGAGGGCTGGACTCTGGTCCATTCCTCCTTGTCAGTTTTCTTTTCTTCTTTCTTTCTTTTCCTCCTCCTCCTGTGTGTGCATATACCCATGTGTTTGTGCATGAATGTGAGGTCAGAGGAAAGTCTCAAGCATTGTAGTTCCTTAGGCACAGCCAACATTTTGTTTAAGACGGAGTCTCTGTCTCTCTGTCTCTCTGTCTGTCTGTCTCTCTCTCCCTCTCCCACCTGGTTTTTTTTTTTTTTTTTTTGGTTTTTCGAGACAGGGTTTCTCTGTGTAGCTTTGCGCCTTTCCTGGGACTCACTTGGTAGCCCAGGCTGGCCTCGAACTCACAGCGATCCGCCTGGCTCTGCCTCCCGAGTGCTGGGATTAAAGGCGTGCGCCACCACCGCCCGGCTTCCCACCTGGTTTTTTAAGACGGGTTTTTCTGTGTAGCTCTGACTGGCTGTCCTAGAACTCACTCTGTAGACCAGGCTGTCCTAGAGTGTGGTGATTTTGTGTTCCCCAAAATATTGTGCACCCTAATAAACTTATCTGGGGTCAGAGAACAGAACAGCCACTAGATACAGAGGCCAGAAAATGGTGGCACACACACCTTTAATTCTAGCATTCCGAAGGCAGAGAGCCATCCAGATCTCTGTGAGTTCAAAGCCACACTGGAAACAGCCAGGCATGGTGACTCATGCCTTTAATCTCAGGAAGTGATGGCAGGAAGCAGAAAGGTATATAAGGTGTGAGGACCAGGAACTAGCCTGGTTAAGCTTTTAGGCCTTTAGCAGTAGTTTAGCTGAGATCCATTTGGATGAGGACTCAGAGGCTTCCAGTCTGAGGAAACAGGATCAGCTGAGGAATTGCCAAGGTGAGGTGACTGTGACTTGTTCTGTTTCTCTGATCTTCCAGCGTTCACCCCAATACCTGGCTCTGCGTTGTTTTTATTAATAAGACCTTTTAAGATTCCTGCTACACTAGAGATCTGCCTGCCTCTGCCTCCTGAGTCCTGGGATTAAAGGTATGGGCCACCACTGACCAACTAAGACAGTCTCTTATTGGCCTGGATATTGGTCAAGTAGCCTAGGCTATTGGCTAGTGAGCTTTGGGGAATCTGTTTGCATCTGATTCTCATTTTTCCCATTACTGGGCTTTTTTTACATGGTTTCTGGATATCCCAATGCAGTCCCTAATGCTCACAAGGCAAGCTCTTGACCGAGCCATCTCCCCAGCCCTTCCCTTATTAATCTTCAAAGGAATACAGGTTAGAAAGTGTAGTCAAAAGTTTTCTGAGGGATGTCTTTTTGTACGTTGTGAATATATGTTGTTCCCATTGGTTAATAAATAAGCTGCTTTGGCCTATGGCAAGGCAGCTTAGAGGCAGGTGGGAAATCCAAGGAGAGAGACAGGAAGGAGAAAGGTGGAGTCTAGGGGGAGGCCATCCTGCCATCCAAGGAGCAACATGCCAGCAGACCAGTAAAGCCATGGAACATGTGGTAATGCATAGGTTAATAGTTACCGGTTGAGTTAAACTATAAGAGCTAGCTAGCAAGAGGCATTCCATAGGCCATAGAGTTTTAAATAATATAATCCTCTGTGTGTTTACTTGGGTCTGAGCGGCTGCGGGATTGCGGGTGGGAGAGATTTGTCTGACCGCTGGGCCGGGCAGGACTGGAGAAAACTTTCGACTACAAGAAAGTGACTTATTAAGCTCTGGGTGACTTTTTTCCCTTTTCTTCTTCTTCTTTTTTTTTTTTTTTTTTTTTTTTTTTTTTAATTTGGAAGATAACAAGAGGAGATTCTGTCTCCAGACCATCTGTCGTGGATTACATGACGTGGGCACACACCTGGAAGGTACAGTTTGCAGCTCAGTGAACAGTTACCTTTCACTAAGTTTGCCTTTGACCTCGTTCATTCTTCTAAAACCTGCCGGCTAAGCCCCGTCAAACTCAGTCATGAACTGGGTGCTTGTTTTGGGCTGTGGCAGCTGGTAGTTCTGCAGAAAATCGTCCATTTCCCAAGCACCTAGAAAGACAGACAGACCACAGAGAGATAGTAAGGGATAACCACGGACTTGAGATGGCCTGACAGGAAGAGGTCAGTTCTGAGGGGACAGAGTTAACCCTGGTCACTGGGCTAGGGAGTACATACTGCATGGGAAATCTTCTGGGCCCTAGATTTAGGGGGGCTCTGGATGTTTGTAGAGCCTCTCTCACATGACAGAGATAGAGGCCTGTTTGTTAGAGGGTGATAATAACATGGCTCAGTGAGTTAAAGCCACCTTGGGCTTCCTTCCCCCGGGCCTTTTATTTAATATACATTTCTGCCTTCTCACTCCAAGTAGAGAGTATCATCAGATGGATGTTGATCTTCCCACCCCCTCTTCTTGAATGTCTTCTGACTTCTGACATGACAAAGGCATGGATACTTCTCTTCACACCTGCTCACCCTAGGTGTTGGGGCTGAGATTGCTGTTCTTATAGTTCCCCCCCCCCGCCAGAGCCCCAAGCACCTCACAAAACACAGCTTCTCCTTGAGGTGCAGGGAGAAGGGTTACATTTAGATCCTCGGTAGGGATCAAGTGTGGGAGGCATGTTCCCTGCCTGGGACCGGAGAGTCCTAGTCAGTGCCTAGGCCAGAGGGGTGACTTCTCTGGGGGAGTCAGCCCAACAAGGTGTACCTTCTGTGAGGAGCGTAAAGGGGTGTTGTGGCAGGGAAATAAGCATACAGCTCCAGGCTCTGGAGAAAGTCGAGAGAAGTGGTTGGAGGTATGTTCCCATGTTTCTTTCCCAAATCCCAAGCTTCAAGCACCCTGGCTAGAGGGTTGCCAGGAGAGTTCAGGAAGCACTGGTAGGTTTGGACTTCAGATAACAAGTAATTTGTCATATATCTTCTCCACCTACTTCATGGAGTATACTTACGCTAATTTTTAGTCTTTTCCTCTTTATTTGGAAAACTGTAATTCACATGTGTCCTACAGTGTTTTATTCTTTTAGGGGAGAGGCTAACTTTAGAAATCTTTCTTGGGTGGGAGAACACCCAAAGAAGGCCTCACCCCACCAACTGTTACTGGGATCCAGAGGGAAGAGCGACCATATGAGGTTGGCAGCCTGGAAGTCCCTGCAGAGCATAGACCACTGGTGGTCCCCAGTTATACCCACAGCCGCTTTTACAACGAGGACGAGATCAAGTCCACCCATGTTTTTTCCTCAACTTACCCCCTCTCTCCACCAGGTAAGGTTCATGTTTCAAAGATCTTCCGAAGGACTGGAACATTTTGGTAATACCAACTCCCAAAAGCTAGAATGATGCTCATGCAGACAGTAATGATGAATGCACACCCAGTGGTGTTTGCTAGGAGCCAGGTGTTATTACAGGAGCAGTATGTACATTACTTCATGTCACTTCTAATGTGGAGGACTGTGATTGTTCCGGCTCACAGATGGGATTCGGTGGGGGGGGGGGGTGGGCAGGGCAGGATGGGGTGCCAGGATGGGGATACAAAGCCTTTCGAGGTTCCTTCAACCCTACTCAGTAACTGCACATTTGACTCAGCCTCAAGAGCTATAGGGTTAGAGCTTATGCAACTGTCTTGGGAAGGCGGCTGAGACTCGGCCAGCTTGGCCTGTAGATAGGTTCTGACCACGCTGGGCAAATCCATGGTGTGGCTTTGTGTCACTGTTCTTTTGTGTACATTGTGCCTGATGAGAACCCCTGGGCCCCCAGGGGGCCAGGCTGGCTGGAAAGAAATTTTGGTCATCTGACCCTTGGAAAACACATGCAGGTATGTCTCTGTATGTATGTGCATGCATGCCTCCCCATTACGTGTGTGTGTGTGTGTGTGTGTGTGTGTGTGTGTGTGTGTGTGTGCCAGAGAAGGGATCTTGGGTGAAGTAGTGTGTGACAGGTATGAGGGGACAAGGTAGCTTTCTCCTTTCCTCACTGAGTATGACAGGAAGGAGCCTGGGTGGCAATGAGGGAATTGAAACCCATCACGAGATCAGAGTAAGCTGGTGGAAAGAAATCCCCTATGTCCCGAGAGAGGCCTGGCTCCCCTCACATAGAGCTGGCCAAACCCTGTCTTTTGTATGAGCTCAGAGTGCCCTGAAACACTTAGGCTCTTTCTAGCCACGTTTTCAACAACCTTGTGGTTCTCAGCAATTTGGGCAGCAGCTCCACAAAGCCAGGACCTGGGCTAGTCTCCTGCTGGCTCTTCCTTTGGCTCAGCAGAGGACTCCTTACACACCCCCACTTGTTTCCTGCCACAGAGGGGCAGGAGGAACTGACCCAGAGCAAGTTCTAGAAGGAAGAGGGGTGAGTCAGGCCCTCGGGGGCATGTGGGGAGAAATGGAGAGCTGTGGCTTCTGTGGTCACTGCTCAGAGGAAAGCCCCTTCCTGTATGGCACTGCTCTGTCTCCGAGCTGCAGGAAGAGGGCGGGACCACCACCCTGGTAGCCATCAGGATTCTTCTTGGCACAGGGCAGGGTGGTGAGTGCACTGTCAGAGGCTTCGAGGGGGAGGCAGCCTCTAGTGTTTATATCCTGAGCTGCCTGGAGGGAGCCACACAGGGGCTGGCACTCCTGCGGCACAGCCACACAGATTGTATGCAGTTCGGTCTCTGTGCCGCCCTAGGGGCACTCCTTTCATCCCACAGAAGCAGTCGGAGGAGCTCTGCTAAGAGGCTACTGCTTCTGCTAAGAGCTGGTGGAGAAGAGGCTGGCCAAGGTGCTGATGTTGATTTGGTTGTGGAAGGGGCCGAGGGGAGCATGAGGAACATATCTAAAGCCTGGAGGAATTTGAACCACACTATATGCCTAGCCTTACGCTAGGCACCAAGGTTCTGAGAGATGAAGGATCCTCTTTTCAGCATCCAGGAGAAGGACCACTCCTCTGAGTTTCACTCCCAGGGAATGCCATGGCTAGCGGGTTTGGAACGGCCTTGGTGGTAGATGTTGATGGTCACTTTCTCCCTTTTAGGTCCTGAGTCCACAGGGCTGGCTTTTGTGATTTGCAAGTGGCAGCTGTGTGTGCCTATCATTTGCAGGCCTCAGGGGGATGAGATTGACAGTTCATCTCCTAGAGTTGATCCACTCTGAGTTGAGTGAATCTCTGTGCTCATCCCATTTATGTAACCCTGGCAGGGCCTCCCTGGACCTCTCTTAGGCATAGGTGGTGGCTTTATCTCTTTACCTAGCTTCATTCCTGACCTCAGTGAATTTCTAATATCACCTAATTAACACTGGATTAAAAACAACCCAGTCTTGGTCAGGGAGGCCTTGTCTAGTAGCACGGCTTTGTAGCTGGCTCCTGACTGATGCTCACAGTCCCTACAGCAAGCCCACTTTCAGATTCCCAAATATCATAGGTCAGGGATGCTAAACCCTGCTTCGGTGAAAGACAGTTTCTAGCTGACTTTCCATTTGGTCCTTTCAGCGTAGGGATGTGGGGTCAGGAGGCTGAGGGAGGCAGCTCCCACTCAGGTAAGGCAAGGAACCAAAGACCAGGTTCTCAGCTATTGTCTTTCGACTCCTGCTCCAGGCAGTCCATCCAGGGACCTAGGTACCCGGCTCTTAGCTGCCTGAGCCCCAGAGCGAGCGACTTGTGTGTAACCAAGGTGTCTCGCCTCTGCCCTGGCCTTGGCCTCGCTCTGCTCTCCCTTTTGGGAGAGCAGAGGATGGCGGCGCTGAAGGAAACAGCACATATTCAAGTCCAACCTAATAACTCCCCCATGGAGAGCCCGGCTCAGGTCTGTAATTTGTTTGGCTCGCCAGGGCTGGATGCAGCGACGGAAGCGCTGATGCCTTCCACAGAGATTAATGATGTCCTGGCAGTGGTAGGCGGGAGGCCTGAGCCTTTTATTTTTTTGTGCCATTAAATGACATCCAGAGACTTTCGCTCAGGAGCTGAAAAGCCCTCGTTCCATCACATCCAATTACTTCTGGAGAAGTATTTGCTGAGTGGCTGATCCCGCTGGCTCGAGAGGCTTTGGGACAGAGGGACCACTGGGACCTGGGACTTTGGTCCATATGGGCAGGAGGGAGGCTCTACCCTCTGTAGAAGAGAACCCAGGAGAACTGGAGGGGAATGAGGGGATTTCTCATTGTTCAGCCAGGGGCCACTGGGGCCTCCTTCCATCTTGTAGCCGAGGGCCGTGATGGGGAAGGGGGAGAGATGAAGGAATTCAGTGGGCCAGGTTAGCTCCCACTAGTCCCTGTATTTGGTGGTAGCAATGGCTGGCTGCAGGAATTTGGGAGTTATCTGTGGGTTCTCCATGATCTACGTGTCCTCTTTTGCTTTGAATGGTCGATGTTTCGCCTTGCTGGTGTACATTTCTCCAAAAGATCTACCTTCAGCCTACAGAAATTTCAGGTAGTTCCTGGACAGGGTGCCTGACTGTGTGCTGCCTAGGATGTTCCCAGCTGGGTGCCTGCCAGGGACCCAGAGGTACCAAGCTTTTGCCAGGTGGGTGGGGGCCCTATGAAAGCAAAAGAGAGCTGTCTGCCACACAAGCCACAGTGGGATGCGATCAGGGGCTAGGCCCTGGGGGATTCTGGGGCCAGGCCAGGTGAACCACTGTGGGAGGTCATAGGGGGTTGGGTTGAGCTGTTCTGCAGTGGGCCCTGTCTGTATGTGCGTGTTTGTGTCTGTCTGTGTCTATGTGCTGGAGGGCAGTAGTTTGAGGGTGGGGCTCTTCTCCAGTTATGACCTCCTTTTATTCCAAGGCCTCTTCCCTTCATACTCCCCAACTTCCTCTGAGCTTTAGCTTTTGCCTACAGGCTTATGGGGTCCCTCCTAGCCTTGTTCCTGAATGTCACCACTGCCTTTGCTTTGGGGCTCTGTTGCCTTCATGCCTGTGGCCCCACAGTGGTCCTGTCTCACGCACCCAGGTTGTTCTGCAGGTGTTCAGATCCATAAGCAAGACTTAGAAGCCATTGTATGGCAGGCCCATACCTGTTCCTCCTCGCTGACCCTGGAATCCAGATGTCTGTGTGCTGGGGAGCACCTTACAGCTGTCTAGCTTCAAA